AAAAAAAAAAAATCACTGCTAAGACGCAATACACCTTATTTTTTTTGGTCCTCCAATATTCAAGAAAAGGGATAATTCACTTTAACATTTTCTTACCACCCAAATGCCTCAACCTATACATTTTAAACTTTTTTTTTAAACATTGGTTATATTGCCCAACTTCGTTATTGAAAGAATATTAACAAGACATTATTTTGGCAAATTAAATCTTAAACATGGCTTTTCAACAGGATTTTAAAAGGTGACTATCCCTAGAGTTCCATGTTAAAATGTAGTTTTCAAAATCTTACAAGAGTAATGCTTAAAATATTGTACATAGTTAACCTAATTAAAATAATTAGCTTCAAAATGACAAATTGATAAGCTAAGTAAAGCCTACACTATGTAACATTTGCTTGGAAACTTGATTTGTCAGTTATGCATAATAAAAATTCCAGTCATCAAGAAAATTACAAAAATTTTTTTATCATAACATGATTTCTTTCACCCACCAACTTTTTTTTATCTTACAATAGATAAATACCAACATGTTCTCATTTTTACACTAAACCACACAGGATTGATGCATTTGGTTAGACTACCATTCGCATTGTTAAATTCAATTTTCTCTTTATATAACTTGGTAAAATTTCATTTCTTCTAGATTCCAAAAGTACCTACAAAACCCATGCAATTTTACCATTTTTAATATACTATGGAATATCATACAAAGTAAGGCATTTCAGTGTCATGTATAACCAAGTTACTGTCAATCCAAAAATTTTTGCACATCAATAAAAAGATATCTAAGAACTTAGGAACAATATTCTTCTCACTACTGTATAAAAATAACCACAATGAATAAGTATTTGTGTAATATTTACTCCATTGTCTCGTTTCCAGAAACTGTGACAAGCTGTAAAGGTATTTCAGTGTTGGTAAGGATATCCTGATTGCTGGTGGTGGAAGTATTAACAGTTCCTATCCCTGAAACAGAACCTTGTTGAATATTTGCAAGGATAAGTGTTGTTCCTCCTGCAGTAATCAAAGCATCGTCTCGCGCAGCTTCCACAGATGCCAGCACTGTACTGCTAGAGTGAATACCTTTTTTATTCTGATGTGTTTTAATATGTTTGGCAAGGTGGTCACTTCTCATAAAGCGTTTTGAACATTCTGGACAAACAAATTTCTTCTCACCTGTTAAAAAGAAATTAGGTTACTTAGTTTTTTAAATTCAACATGAATAGACTGATCATCTGCTGAGAAAGAAAATAAGCCAACACTGACAGAGACAAGAAGCAGAGTTCAGTTCCATTAAAAGTGTATTCGTTTCGTGAGCGGTCCTTGCAAGATTTCTCACATAGAGTACTCTTCCCTCAAAATAAATCTGTCCTCTTTACTTCTGAATGAAAAGTGATCTTCAAAGTTATAGACTGATATCTGGATACGATTTGAATACCTCAGCTATGCCAATAGTTTGTTTTGAAACATCTGTTAGAAGACACCGTACAGCTAAAAAATGACCATCTGCAAAGAGCACACTGTTTTAAGCTATATTTAAGGTATTATTAGCATGTCGTATCCACGATACTAAACCTTTTAAATGTGAATTCAAGGAACTACACAGGGTACTTAAGATTAAAGCAAAAACATAGCCTGTGCTCCAATAAGACTGATAATCCCAGGAATAATGGAGATGGCTAGCTGATGTGATTTTAGCTGGAATAGTCAAGAGCAAGCCTGATATACCATGATGTTATAGTTAATTCAAGACCCTGATGCCTAACTTTATTTCCCCAGTATGAATAAAATCCTTTTTTAAATACAAAAGACTGACTGAACTTCTATTATGTTGAAGACAACTACAAAAGAGAATTACTGGAGGAAAAGGCAAAAGGCAAATCTAAAAGGAATCCAGAGAGAAATCAAGTAGTAAACAAATCTTGTATTTTGTGATTCTCTTCAAAATTCTTACCTATCTCTTATTTCAGCACCTCCACCTTAAGTAGGTCCTCATCAGACCTCACGCCTGAACTATGCTGCAGTGACACCCTAAGTCATTCCCCCTCTCCTATCCAGTCAGTCAATGGCAGACAAATCTTCCTTAAATACCAAATCGTATCAGTGTGAAACTTCACCATGACACTAAGTGGTACGGAAATATAAGAATAACTTGCAGATTATGAAATAGATTCTCTACTGCCTAACTTAAAAGGACCTCCATAACATAGCTCAATCCTACTTAACAGAAATGTGCTATATAGAATCTCACCTTCACTCATGGCAAATGGTCTCTCACCTCTTCTATTCACATATCATTCTATTCTTCTGGGAAGGTATGTCCCAAAATTTCTTTTGGAATTAATCCTGAGAGATGCTCCACAGAAAAATGGCACAACAATCAAAGGAGGCTGGGAAATGCTACACATACTACATCTCCCAACTTAAGAGATGCACAGTCTTCTTAATGTTCAATTAATGGTCCTAAGAGGTGTTGCCTTGAAGGTAGCTGGACTAAACCCTGTTTAACTCAGTGTTTCTCACATTTATTTGATCACAGACTTTTTTGTCCCCTTTTATGTTATTCCTTTTTATATCCTGATCAAATTCCACAGAGGAAAATTCTGTTACCAGGCCACTTTAAGGTCCCAGCCCACTGCCCAACAATGTCTTACTATCCCATGCAACACTGATCTCTGTCTCTAAGTATACTTGACCTATTTTCTTATTTTGTTTGCTGCAACTTGAAACAGGTTAAGCTCATCTGTCTAACCTGACAAATAAGACAGAAAATAAGTAGCACATGTAATATATATACTACTACATACTTCACAGGTTATTTTATATATTTAAAGACAATGTAGAAGGTATGAAAGTAGAGTGAGAGCTTATCTGCTTACTCTAACAGAGAACCTGGATTTGAATCCAGATCTAGGACCAACACTTTCATTTCACCATGCTTCTTCCTTCTAAGCTTTATTGTAACTATAAATATATATTTTTCAATTCTTCAGAGTTGAGCATAGACTGATGAACACCTTGACCATTATATGGTAGCAGGAGAAAACTCTAAGATACATTAAATTAGGATTTAGTTGGAGTCACTCCTAGGCTCACTTCATGTAACAACCCCACAATACCATGAAAAACAATCAAACAGAAGAGTTCTTCCATCAATAATGCCCTGGTTATTCCTCATTGAAATGTTTTTTGCTTACCTCACAGATACTAAAACGAGAAAAGGTAAAATACTTCAATTTATCAGAAAAAAAAAAGAATTATTCTTTAGCATGTTGAAGAAAAATAAAGACAGATCAAGAGTAAAAGCACACAACTAATTTAAAAGGTTAACATAATAAACAAGAATTGCATAAATGTGGCTTAAGACATTAAACAACGTTACAGCAAAACAAAAAAAGCTAACTATATAAAAAAAAAAAAAAGCTAACCAAAGTCTGCATAAAATAAAATGTTATTTTACAAGATAAACCATATTGGCTTATTTGGAATTACTGTTCTTAAATTGGTATTACTGAAGATAAAAATTGAATGTAACTAGTTATATTTTAAAAGATTCAGATCAGTAAGATGTGGGGAGAGGGGGGAAACTTCAAGATACTATGTAGCCCTATAAGTCATTTTTTTTTTCAGTTAAAAGTAAATATTAGTAACCTGTATGTGTTCTTCTGTGCCTCTGTAATTCATCACTTCGAGTAAATCTTTTACCACAGAACATCCAGTTACAAACAAAAGGACGCTCCCCAGAATGCCAACGCAGATGAGCTCTCAGATGTGAGGTCTTCCCATAGACTTTACCACATCCTGGTATATGACAAATGTGTTGCTTCTTTTTTCCAAGATTGGTACCTCTAAAAAACACACAGAGAATAATATATACTTCTATGGAAATATTCAAGTAAACATTACTACTTCTATATTCCCAAGCTGAATTTCAAATCGAAGACGTTAACGCCATGAGGTCAATCAGAAACCAAGACCATTTAAGATCAATTTAAATTTAAAAAAATGTGTGTGTGTGTGTGTGTATGTATATATATATATACATATATATATACATATATATATATACATCTCAAACATGTAATATCACATTATTAATTTTACTTCAGATTTAATGTGATTGCTGTCCAAATGTAAACATATTCAAGAATTATATAATTTAAAAGGACATTTCATAAAGACAGATTGTACAAATAAAGCTACTTAAGTATTCTGTCAGAACCATTCACAAATTCAATGCATAGGCCCAATCCATGTCCTAGTGGTATAAGAAACTAAATAGTCTCTTCAAAGTCACAATGTCAGCTAATTTAAAAATTAAATAAACCAAGAAATGACTACATAACCAATCACAGGTACAATAAAAACGATAGGCACCTTAAGCAGACTTTAAATTAACATGACTTAAGCATATTTATTCCTTTATTTGTATAGCCACACCCTGAATATACACGGAGACTTGGGAGAAAATCGTAAAAAAAAAAAAAAAATCTAGACAAAGCTACTGTCATAGCTCCCTTAGCACTACAGAAAATAAATATAAATCAAAATTATCTTTATAGTTAAAATTCCTTTCATATTAACCATGCAAAGATACCCCAAATTACACATCAGAGATATAATAAAATACAGTTTCTCCACAGCATAAAATTTGACATTTGTTACATTTCAGTATTTGATACCAAGAACAGGGTTTGGGAGATATGTGCTTAGATGAATGAACACACGTATTTTAGCCTAAGCAAGAAGAAAACTTTTTTGATTCCAGAACTGATATTCAAATAGTATTAAACACTATAGAAAGTGTTATTTCCCAAGCTTTAAAAAAAAAAAAAAAAAAAAATTGGGCTGGTTACTAAATAAAAATAAATGAGTTTATAAAAAACACGACACTTTAGACTGTCAAAATCATATAAACTCTGCAATGTTTCGGAGATTTAAAAAAGGTACATTTAAGACCCCCCGCCCCGACTTCCCCTCCTCCCCCAATCTCACAGTCTAGGTATATAGCCTGTAAACTGTCCATAAGCCTGAAAATCCTCCTTTATATATTATACCTAGCGTTTTTCAATTTTTACTGGAAAAATGCATATTTCCCCACATTTATATTTTAATGTACTCACACTCAGTAGCATGTGAAATTGCCATAGGACAAACAGTGCTAAACGGTGCAGTGCTGGCTGTTAGATGCCATAGGTGTTCTGAACAGGGAGACATCAATGTGGGCTCCAGTAGTTAGAGAAGGCTTCGTGGAAGAGGTGGGTAGGATTTAGATAGAAAGAAGGGAAGGCATTCCAGGCAGAGGAATAGCATAAGTAAAGACAAGGAGGAGTCATGCTGTTGTCTTAAGGGCAAGGACGTCATAATCTAACACAATTCTAGTTTCTGCTCCAGTCCACCCCCAATTTCTATAACTCTCTTCCAAGAGCTGAGTTGAGTGAAACAGGTTTTTCTGGCTCACCTGCAATGCCAAAGTATTAACCAAAGCCAATATTTCATTTAATTTAGTTTTTAAAATTTATTTTATTCTTACACAGCCCTAAGAAAAAAGAGTAATGTTTGTGGTTATTGGTGTAAAAACCAATTTCACATATTGTGTTCACCATAGCAATTTCACAGAGAACCCAATTCAGTTCACTCTTGTACTCATGACTTCTTGCCTCTATGCTAAGTGTACCACTCAGGTGAATCCATGTGCTTTTATAAACTCAAAAGTGCTAAATACTTTACTAACTAAGCAAAATTTAGCTTGAGAGCACTAACAAAGCACAAGATTGTAACAAATTACAGCAACAAATCTGGGTTCTCAAAGAACCAAAGAGCCCGGGAGAGGTATTTTCAACTGAATTATAAGAAAATGAGAAATACTATTTGAAAATGGGACAGGCATCTGGGGGGGGGGGGGGGGGGGGGGGGAGATGGGGACAGGATGCACACAAATATATCTAATTTAAGGGAAAAGCCTAACACCCGGGTCCAAATTTCTATTTAAAAAGGAAATTTTATTCAAGATAAGATCTAGATATGTTAGATATGGATTTATGACACGTGATGTGAAGGAAAAGAACTTTCTCAACAAATAAATATAAAGGTAATAATAGAAGATTTAGTCGTAAGTTTTCTTCTTGATTTATGTAATCAAACCACTAACACCTATACCATCTAGAAAAAACAAACAACTTTGAGTTTCTATTCCTAATTGCCTAAACTTGTTCTCAATAGTTTAACAATGCCAAGACAGAGTGACACAATAAATAATGCTGAATTCTCAGTATGGGAATTAAGAAAAGTGAAGTAAATCAAGTACTTTCTTTTGCTTGGAATGGAAGAAATGAGACACCAACTGAAATTGCTGACAGATTTTGCAAAATAACTTAATTTTTAAAATATGGACTGATGTTTAATCCACACAAACCCCACATAACAATAATGCTTTTAGAATTTATTCTACTTTATTAAAATTACCTGCCTCTTCCACTAGAGTAAAAAGTTTCTGAGGGCTGGTTCTGCTTAATAAGTATTGGTTAAATGCCCAGATGAATACAATTTTTAAATATTTAACTATATTTTACACCTTGCTCAAGAAGGTAAACAAAATTTTGTTCTCTGAATATTCCACTTGATATATGTGTATTTTTAAGAATACAGCTGAGGGAAAAAAGGCCAATATTCTAAAATTTTTAAAGTACTGCCCACCTCACCTTTGCAGAACCCTTTAGAATGCTCTGGATTTACTGTATGCTATGCTTCTACTAATTAGATGCAACAACTATCAATGATACAATTTTGCCTGTCATGTATATATCAGTTGAAGTTTGTTCAAATGAGCTCTAAGAAACCATAGTTTTTTTTCTTAAGAGCTTCCATTTTGATTATTTAGAATAATTTTAAAAAACGAACTCACAAAAGTTCTAGAAAAAATAAGTCTTTTTTTTTAAGGTATTTCATAAAGACTGATTCACTAAAACTTTTGTGCATAAAACAAAGTTTGCAAAGTTTTAAGTGGTGGAACTCTTCTTTTACTTGTATAACAATGCATTATACAAACTACTGACAAAGTTGAAAGGCAATGTAAAACTAGGAAAAAATATCTGCACATATGACGGTTAAACACACGAATTAACAGATTCACAAAAGACAATTCACAAAAGAAATCTTAAAATGGTAAAATAACACACCAAAAAATGTTCAATCTCACAATGTAACAAAAAATATACTAAATGAAATAATAATGAGGAATTATTCTTCATACCAGACTTTAAAAGGTATTAAAAAAATGATGAAATCCATTGTTGGCAAGGGTGTGGGAAAGCAGATACTTTCATACACCACTGGTAGGAGTCTAACTTGAAACAGATAGAAAAGCAGACAATTCCCTTCGATCCAACAATTTCACTTCTGCCAACTTACAGTGATGAAGTAATCAGACAAAGGTGCAAAAATGTATGTGTAAGATTAGAATGACAGCAATAAACTCTCAAAAAAGATGTTAAATTCTTATGCATCCATACAACAGTATTAACAGCCATTAAAAACTTGATGTAGACTCTATACAGACTTGGAAATATGGTCACAAAAATTGTCAAAATAAGAGCAGACATGTAAACAGTGAGAATGATTCCACTTTAAAAGATACGTAAAGTCTGAAAGGCTATATACAAAAATGTTATAATGGTTATCCTGACATGGGGTAGAAGTTTGGTATTGTTTTAATATTCTTCTAGATTTCTGAATTTTTATGAGCACATACTAGTTTAATAAATACAAATCTAAAGGAAGTTCATTTTCAAGAAAATGCGTTAAGTAAAATATAGGCCAGATCTTGACCCTCAATTAGATTGGACTTTCACGAACAAATTTATCTTTAAAGTTCCTCTAAAAAGCAGAGTAAATTTCAGAAAAGTTATTGTCTAACCAAACTTATTTAAATTGGCCAAAACATGTCAAAGAATAAATAATATTTCAAACAAATAATTACCCAGTAAATAAAAATACCTAAGGATCTGATATAGAAGCAAATCCACTCAAGAGGTAGTAAGTACAGTTTAGTGGTTAATGCTCTGGAGTAAGAAACTGGGTCCAAATCCCAGTTGCATGTTGCTCTTAAGAATCATTCAACCTCTCTGTGCCTCATTTATAAGACTTTCTAACATCTAAAACTCAGTAAGCCCTCAATGTTAGCAGTTATTAGTCACTGTTACCATCATTGTGAATGGGCTGGCCAATGTACAAATCAACTAATGACACCAACTCGAAGGCAGATAGACTCTATTTCTATTAGCTTAAGCTCATTAACTGTGTTAATAGTATATTTTGTCTATTTATGGCATATTTCTGAGAGAGATGTGTTAAGGCTTTTCACTATGACTAGGGATTTGATTAGTATGTCATTAAGAGTCGTATCAGTTTCTGCTCTCTATATATTTCAATGTTATGGGGGGAAAGTATCGTAACTATTACATCTCCTTTGGTGAAAACTTCGTATTATTAAGAAACCTACCCCTATTTAACCATGTGATGATTTTCACCCTGATCCTTCGTTGTCTGACAGTAACACTGCTATCCAAGTTTTCTTGTTAACATTTGCCTAATAAATCTTTTTCCACCCCTTCAACATTCCTGTGCCAATTTATCTGAGATGCTCCCTATAATTAACGTAAGGCTGGATTTTGTTTTTAAAATACAATCTGAGTTTCAAGGTCTTAATTATTAAGCTTAATCCATCCACATTTAATATAATCAGTGATCTGTTTTGAGTTTTTCCTGTCATGTTATTCTGTCTTAACATTTATTTTTTTAAAGTACAGAATTAAAATACTACAGTTCCACTTTCTTAAAAAATTCCATCATTAAGGCTTATTATTCATTTCTGTTGAAAATAGAAAATGTTTATGCTTATCAACTATTTCTGAACTTATTTTTATATAACTGCTATTCTCAAGCTAAAAATCAACTCTTTATCTGTATTTAGGCAAATCTCATTGCTGGTTTGCAAATAGGCTAATTTCTCATATGGGCCTGTTAAATGGCATCTGTTACATTTCTTTTTAAGGCAAATTAAGTAACTTTAGTTTTAAAAAAGGCACTTCGATCTGAAAATTCTATCTTACATATTTTGTCCCCTAACTTTTTCTGCCACACTCATACAGACATACACACAAAATGATCATGTAATGAGAAATTTCCCATAATTAAGTGATACCGCATGCAGTATTTCAAAAATTAGGGTGATGATATTAGCAGTGTTAAAAAAAAAGAGTATGTTTCATATGTGCATACCTCCCACCACCTTCTTTACAGTTGGGACAGGTGCAAGCTACCCTTCGAAGTCTTTTTCCTTCTTGATGTTGTTGGTCCCCTTCTTCATCTACCACCTGCACTCTTAAGTGTGTTAGATCATTGGTATTCAATGTAGAATCACCACTGAGCTGCCACTCTTCAGGATCAGGTTCTTCTTCCTTGATCCTAATATCTAAAGAAAAAAGCAAATACAGATGAGAAGCAGCCCACTGGCCCAAAAAGCATGAGATGTGAGCCTCTCTAAGGTAAAGTGAATACTATGTAAAAGTCAAAAATCATGTCTATGGAACATAACCATTGGTCCTAAACATAATCATTGGTTCTCATTTCTATCTTACTCTAAATATCAAAGAATTCAGCCAAAAAGAGAATAAAGCCAGCATGAGAGCTTGCTTTTTAAAAGATTTATTAAGAAAAGTAATTTTCATATGTGGAATTTAAGATACAAAACAGATGAACATAAGGGAAGGGAAGCAAAGATAATGTAAAAACAGGGTGGGGGACAAAACATAAGAGACTCTTAAATACAGGGAACAAACAGGGTTGCCGTAGGGGCTGTGGGTGGGGGGATGGGTTAAATGGGTAAGGGGCATTAAAAGGAGGGCACTTGTAGTACTAGGTGTTATACACAGGGGATGAATCACTGGAATCTACTGCTGAAATGATTATTGCACTACATATGCTAACTAACTTGGATGTAAATTAGAAAGGAAGGAAGGAAGGAAGGAAGGAAGGAAGGAAGGAAGGAAGGAAGGAAGGAAGAAAAAGACATTTTTTTTTAAGCAAGCGAAGGCTAAATCACAAGCAATCTGAAACTTCAATTATATACTCGTTCAGCTTATCAATAAATCCAACAGTCAATTCAGATTGGAGCAAATTCTAAAACCCTTCACAGCCTATATCAATCGTTCCTATCAATAGGTACTATGTGAATGCAAAAGAAGGGATCATTCACTTGAAACTGTTACTCACAAATCTAACCTTTAAATTAAGTCATCATTACTAAAATATCTATAATGGCCACGATGTCACTATGGAAGGAGACAGAAATATGAGAGACAGTTTCTATTTTCAAGGAGTTTTATTACAAACCAGATTGGGAAACAAAATGAGGAGGCAATGGTAAGGAAGAATGGACATGGCAGGAAGCTGTGTCATTTTCTCAGCAGAGCCAAACATCTTTATATCGATAATGATACAACATCATTTTCTACATGAAAACGAAGAGGTTTTTCATCTCAGAAAACTTTTTTAAAGAAACAATACAGGATTTAAAACAAACACTGAATATAACCATCTTCGGTAAAGCAAATTCTCACAGATTTTTATTCTGATTTATGTAGTAAACCAAAAATCTTAATGGAAAATTATTATTTTAAATCCAAATTAGTCACTAATAATTGGGGCAAAAATAGCTTTAAAAAAATCAAATGTGTCTTGTAACTGCTGAATTTAAACTAATGAAAACTAGAATGTATAACCAACAACCAAGAAAAACACCTCAAACAGTGTAAAACTAGTTTATTTTATCAGGATAACCACAACAAAGTATCGGGGGGGGGGGGGGGGGGGGAGTAGGAAGAAAGGGAAGCATGGCATGGGCAACAGGGTAGAGAGCAGTGCCATTCACCAAAATAGGAAATACTGGAGAAAGACCAAGTAGAATTAAAGAAGGACAGTTAATGAGTTCAAGGTTCAAGACCATGGAGTCTGAACAAGTACAGAAGCAGGACCTATACCTTTGGAGCTCAAAATAGAGGCAAGTGCTGGAGATACAGAAATTATCGGTATATATACAGTGATGGGAGTCTTTCCAAAGAAGTAGGTTAGATCACTCCATGACTATAAAGAGGATGAGAAAAGAAAGTAGCCAGTGAGGAATACAAACATTTAGGGAACAGGCAAAAGAGGAGGAACCTGCAAAGGAAATTAGTATCCAGGAAAATGTGCTACATCAATGAAAGAATGTGTTTCAAGGAAGAAAGGAAGTGGTCAACATCAAATACTGCAAATAAGTTAAGAAAGAAACTAAGAAAGTGGGCAAGAAGTGCGAATGTGTTTAATAACAAGTACAGATAAGTTCTTCAAGAAGTCTGGTTTGAGAGAGAGACAAAAATATGGCAATAGAAGCTTGAGAGGACCAAAGAGGAGAATTAAGGGGAGGGAGTGTTTTGTTTTATTTTTAAAGACACAAAAAACTTGAACATGTTTAAATGCTTATGAGAAAGATCTATTACAGAGAGACTGGTTGAAAATACAGGATTTTGAAACCCCTAAAAAGTGAGGAGGGGATGATGACCCATAGAACCTACAAGTTCAGCTGATGGAGCACAGCCACAACTCCCTCTACAAGCACATCTGTTCATCCCATAAGTAATTAGCTGCTATGTGCTGTGAACAATGCTAGACTCCAGATGCAGAGAGAATTCGATGGCTAGAAATGGAAGGAAAATTGGTTTCTATTTGCTCAGTGAAAAGATGAAGAATTACACTATATATAAAATTCCTCCAAATACAAAACATAAATGTGTATTGACTTCTGTTCCTTTATAATCTGATGTCCATCTGTATCACTATGACCAGATACGTAAGTACTTGCACAAATATTGCATAATACTAGCTTTGTAAGTTAAAGAAAAGACACAGTACATGGATACCACATATCCAGAGTAGAGTAAGTTTGAAGTCCACACATGAGGCAGTTTATCAGATGTTTTTAAAGCTGCTCATCTTACATTATTTGTGATGAGGCAGCAGGTAAAAAGGAGGACAAAATACTAATACCAAGGATGGATAAAGCAGTCTAGAGAGACAGAAGACTTGAAGACACCAAAGAGAAGAAAAAAAAGCAATTGATGAGAGAGGGCAAGAATGAAATGCAACTTGACTGAGGGAATGAAGATATTATATAGCACGTTCCTGCCCCCCATTGCTAGTTCTCTTACTGGAACCTACAAAATTGTTTAAACATTGTGTCATGGACATAAATACTCACAATTTAGTGTCCTTTCTTACTGAATCTGAATACAGCACAAGCAAAAAAACTTCACATGTAAATTGAACCCATCTTGTCCACCAACCAACCTTCTCCTTTAGTTGACAGCATTACAAGTCACCTAATTTTTCGGACTATCAACTCTAGCTGAGTCCTGTCAGTCCATTGCCAGCCTCTCATCTTCCTCTTTTGCTAATCCATCTTCTCCACAGCCTCTAAAATGTTCTTCTTAAATAAAAATCTAATGACATCACCTTCCTGATAACCATACTTACACTAATTCTCTATTTTCTACAGTATAAAGACCACACTCATTAACTTGGTATTCAAGAATGTTCTCAACCTGGCCCCAGCCTGGTCTTCCAAACCTCACTATTAAAAACACTGAAATTCTCAGGGCTCCTGGGTGGCTCAGTGGGTTAAGCATCTGACTCTTGATTTTGGTTCAGGTCATCATCTCACAGCTCATGGGATCAAGCACCACACACATCAGTGGGAGCCTGCTTGGGATTCTCTTTCTACCCCTCTTCCACTTGCACTCTCTCCCTCAAAATAAATAAACAACAATAAAAAACAAACAAACCACTGAAATTCTCACCATTTTCAGAATACATGCCCTCTCTCAATGTCACTCCCTTGTGTGTGCATCTTGCCTGGGCTGTTTTCTATCTCTTTTCCTTTTTCATCGAACTAACCTCGATTTATCCTTAAAGGCTACTTCAAATGTCATCTCTTTTATATATACTTATGGTAGAATTATATTTATTGGCTCATACATCCCTTTAGATATTGAGTGCTTCACTCCAAAGTGCTCAGAAAATACAATCTGACTAAATGAACAAAAACTTCCCTAAGGAGGAACTTCCAATATAGGCAATAATCTACCTGGAGAGACTTTGCCCTCTGCTTCTCTATGCTCCTTCTATCTGCAAATAATACATAAAGAGAAGTGTTTTTTTTTATAAGATTAAAAGTCATTTCATAGGGACAGGACCACTAAGTGTTCACTAAAAATAATAGATTAATTGCCCAAAATGTGTTACACCAATTTTTAAAATCACTCCACTTGTTCATACGCAATCTGGGGTATTTTAGAATCTTAATGATAAAATTAATTAACCCAATAAATTGGAAATAATTCCCCTTTGCTAACTGCATATCATTTTAATTACAGACACCTTAAAAATAAGTCTCCAGTACTAGGCAGTCAAGGTTACATCTTCCTCAATAGCTGAGTGTAGACGACAGGAAAATATTTTTTACTGTGCTCTATATTAATGTCTTACATGTGGTACCTAATCATTCTTAGAAATCTATTTGTAAGGCTCAGAGGAAAGGGAAGTAATAATCCATCAAAATAGACCATACAAGTATGAAGAAGTACCCAGTATTATTAGGTATCAGGAAAATAAAAAGCAAAATCACAATGAGGTATCATACCACCACAATGGCTAACATTCAAAACAGACCAGGCCAACTGTTGGCAAAGTAGTGGAATAACTAAAACTCTCCCACACTGCTAGTGGGTGTATAAATCGGTGTAATTTTAGAAAACCTTTTGACCACATCTTCTAAAACTAAACCTATGCATACCCTATAACCCAAGCAATTTCACTCCAACAGAAATGCATACACTAAAAGTTCACCTTAAATGAAACAATTCCAATGTCCACCAGTATTAGAATGGAAAATAAATCATAATATATTCATTCATACAGTTAAATGTGTTAAAACAATGAAAATTAACAACCTATATGCAACAGGAATGAATGTCACAAACATAATTTAAAACAAAAGGCTCACATTTTTTCTCTCTCTGTCTCTCTAGAAATTCTATTTTTATATAAAGCTTAAAACAGGTAAAACTACTCTACGGTGACTGCCTATCTTTAAAAAGGGGTAATAACTGGGTCTAAGGAGACTGCTGGTTTGTTCATAATGTCCTATATTTTGATATGGGTAATTTTTCCTAGGTGTTCATTCTATAAAAATTCATCAAGGTACACACATATGATTTTACATTTTTCTGAATGTGTATTATACTTCAATATAAATATTATTCTAAATAAAAATTTTTTTGAGTAATCTATAGATTACTTAGGAATTCTGTGTCAATCAGCTTCTTTTGTTGCGGCTTCATCTCTAGTTCCTTATAATCAACTAACACCTTTCCCTGA